AAAGAAAAGTGCCGGAGAGGTTAGAAGCCACTAAAAGCTTATCAAAGAAATTCCCCTGTCAAAACATCAATGAAATCACATGATAGAGAAGAAAAAGAAACGGGTCAGGAAAGAAGAAATAGAGGAGGAGAGAGGGAAAAATCAAGACAAAACAAGGTAGCAAATAAAATGATGTGTAGGTTAAATTACTCACCACTGGTTCAAGTAGCTACAGTACCTGTACCTGTACATCTGACACTGATCACACCCTTGAATCCCATGAAATCAATGCTGCGCAGATGAATTGCGTGTATTACAATTATCGTCTAACATCATTGCGTCTGATAAATTGGTCTTCTTTGTCATAACATTATATATGCTACAATAAAGCTTAAAGCCGACGCCACAATTAAATCAACACCAAATTGATAGTCTGAATAAAATCATCCTGATACTGAGCTTTGTTAGAAATTAACAGCTGCGCAGAAATATACCTCGTCTCTCTCTTTAAAAAAACAAAACAAAAAGGAAAATCCCTCAAACACCATGAAGTGTAGACATGATAGGCTACTTTCCACATTTCCAGCAGCAAAGCTGTCAATTAGGCCCATTATCTTTAACAGGGAGCATTTCTTCCAACAAAACAAAACATTGGCACTAATTAATGGTGCTATTAAGTGTCCGCAAATGATCAGTTTCTTTCTTATGAAGGGGTGGGATGAAAGTTCGACTTCTTTCCACTCCGTTTTGAACAATCTTTTCATTGTCTGTTGTTGTTGATTTCTTTTCTTTTTTAATGTTCAAAATAAACTTTCAAATCATAATCAATCAAATTAATTAAACTTCTCGTCATGACTGGGCTGCATTTCTGTCAGCGGAGTCTTTTTTTTTCTGAACAGCTGATTGGCCAGTGGGTGGTGCTTTTTATAGAATCAGTTTCAATCCTGAACTTACCCTGCTCTGGAGCAGGATAGCTGTTCATAGTAAGTTACCATGGTGATCTACCCCGATAAGAACTGAACCGGCTTCGTGAGACCGAAAACCCAGGGTTAACCCTTAAGTTACCTCTCTAAGACAAAATCCTGCTTCGTGATACAGGCCCCAGCAGAGCTTTTAGCTATATATATAGCCTATAGATGACATTTTTCACATCACTGTATCACCGTTTGGACTAATCCGATGTTTGTAAAGTCTATAAACACAATGATTGAACAAACATTACTATTTCTGAGTGCACGTTTAGCTGGGCTAACCGTTAGCTGTTAGTCCTGTTAGCTGTTAGCAGTGTCTGTAATAGGTAATAACTCATTAAACGGTCCGTGAAAAAACTTTTCCAGTGGATATCTTAGTTACAACATGATTGAGCTAGCAAAGCAGTTTTGTGTTGCTATGTGTGGTTTTTATTCAGTTTTGGGAAATCACGATGTCTAGAAAGCATCAGTGGCTGCAGCTGACAGGGACAGCTAACACTAGCAGCAAAGCTAACATCAAGACGTCATCTGTTAAAAGCCTCCCGTTGTCGGATACGACATGACACTACTCCAGTTAGCTCAATCATGTTGTAACTAAGACATCTGCTGGAAAAATATTTTCTTTACGGATGAGCACACGTTTGATAAAACGGAGTTAAATCTCTCGGCATCCATTTTCAAGCTCTCTGTGTGTTTGTTTCCTTGCGGACGAGAAAAGGGGGAGCGCACATTTCCGAGAAGGCGTGTCCTTTTCAAAAATGCAAGAGGCGTTGCTTTGTTGCCGGCCGTTTTCGCCGGTGTGTTAAACACACTTTAGAAAGGAGTGTCCCCAGACTATCAGAAGGTGGACATCTCTGATTGTCTGGTGGCGAGACTACTTCTTATGTGATTACACACTAATTGCTCAACAACAAGACATAATAACTATGTAGTCCTTTTCAATTCACTCTGTCAAGTGGTGTTAGATAATATCCTTAAACTGTGCTGAATTTACCAAACACTTAACCCCTATGCAGTAGAACTTTAGCAGTGCATGGCTTTGTATGTAGAAGAATATATACATTTGCATTTTTTAGATTAATTTTATTTGTGATTTTCTGGGACATCTTTTGCAGCTACATCTTACCATAAAACAGAAAATGCAGCCTTCACATTTCCCTGTATTTCAGCCTGATTATGACATCTTTCAAATAAATTTATTGATATTGAACTTGAACTTTCCAGTCATTGTATTGGCTGACTCAGTATCTGAGGAGTTGAGGAGATTGATACCTCTTTGCTGTGTGTACAGTTTAGTACATGCCTTTTCCAAAAATGAGTGGAAAAATTATTTTGTCTAAATCTAAAGCATTTTAAGACCAAATTTACTGGGGATGTTTACAATATTCATGCTCAAATGTTGTAATCAAGCCCTGATTGATTAAATAGCTGTTTTCACATTTGAATTCTTCAGTGTTTTAGCTTGTTTTCTTGTTGATGCAACACAGACTTAGAGGTTATTCAAGTTAAGTTTCACAGGCGGATTTGTGCCCTCTGTACCATTGCGGCACTTTGCCAGTAACTGTGTGGCTTACATCAGGAATTCACGCTTAGAAACAGCTTTATCATGGCACACGTGGACTTTTTTTGTTTTGTCTGCAAAAAGGCTTGAATTGTAAGCTGCGAAATGAAACAAGGAAAATCCCTTTTGCTGTCACATGTAGTGAATATTGGACATCTAACTTAAAACAGCTTCCTCATATAATATTTCTGCTGCAGATACTTTGCATTTACAATAAAAAATTTTCAGGCATGTATGAATTACATAATCATTTTCTTAATAAGCCAGACATCAGAGCTCAAAAGTGACTTTTGCTATCCTGTAAGAATTTTCCTTTAAGTACATAAAAATTTCACACATTTTTTTTGCAGCAATTTATCTTTAATTATTAATACTGCAAACACATCCCATATGATCAGTGTCATGCCAGCATACAAATTCAGTTTGTGTGTATGCACCTTCACCTGCTTAGATACACATGTACCTGTTTTATTGTGCTTCCAATCAGTTACATAAAGACCTAATTGTTTTCATAGTAAGTCTTGGGCAGGTTTCAACATAGAAGCCAGATTACGGTAAATATATTAACCCAACAGGATTACCTCTAGATTTAAGCACCTTATTTAGTTCCAAGCAATGAAAATCAGCCATAAGCTTGTCTGTGGAGTGTGTATATAAAGGCTGCCTCACACACCAGACCCAATCTGTTGGACAGCCACGAAGAGTAGTGGAATTTTAATCACTGTTGCTTGTTTGCCTCAAAGCAGGTAAGACTCTGATGTTTTACACATTTTACTTTGTACTCAGTAGTCTTTAAGTTTCAGCACTGGATCAGATGTGAGATTGTGTTTTCTAGGAATGCAAAATTTTTGTTCTGTCAGCTGTGAAATTAGAGGCTTTATAATCACTGGACTTTGTAATGTGGTGTTACGGTTTTTGTCTACTGCCGCTGCTTTCTTTTTCCTCACATAAAATAGTACAATATATTGTTGGTGCATCTATAGTGCTTTAGAATACAAGAGATCAGGGTTGTTGGACTATATTGCCCTGAGACCCAAACATGCAGTTTTGTGCCAAATAATTAGCCTTATATATAAACATATGGTCCTAATACACTGCTACTTTCATTATAGAATGGAATCCTCAAAGCTGGCCCTGTTCCTGGTCCTTCTGTCCTGCGTAGAACACTGTTTCTCTGCCTCCTGTGTCGTTGACAGCTTCACAGTCAAAGAGGACTTTGACCCTAAAAGGGTAAGTTCATTAAAACATGCAAACAGCATGCACGCTGAAAAAAATCAGGTGACAAAGATGTCTCACTTTCTTCCTTTTCCCCACAGTATGTAGGAAAATGGTACGCACTGCAGAAGAAAGATCCAGAGGGCCTGTTCCTGCAGGACAACATCTCAGCTGAGTACACCATTGACGACGACGGCTCCATGACTGCCTCCTCCAAGGGACGTGTTACTCTGTTTGGGTGAGTCAGAGGGCCAGAGGGTGACTTTTTTCTTCTCTAATTCATTTTTTACAGACAAAATAGATATTTCAACAAGCAAAACCAGCCTTACGCCTCTTTAAACCCCTCCTGATTAAGGCAAAAGGTCAGTTTGGTCACAAGGACCTTCTTGACTAAGAGCTGGGGAGATGAGGACAGCTCAAATGTTCAGTTCTGGTCCACCCACAGATTTAAGACAGGAACAGATTCTGAACACATTCTGAACAGTATTAGCTGGATTATGGATTTTTCATGCAGGAATGTGTGCTTGAGTGCACGTTTACTAGCAGATTTGAGAGCTCATGACACGGACTTAAAGCAATCTAGGCTTTATTCAAAGAAAATGTAGAATATACTGTTTGCATTTTATGTCTATTCTGTATGTTGTTATTAGAATTATTGAAGTGAAAAGTTCATGTATTTGCAAGAAAATGGCAGAGACTGATTTGTTGTATGTTGTTCCCCTTGAAGCTAACATGTGTTTGCATCATCATGTTGCAGCTTCTGGGTTGTGTGTGCAGACATGGCTGCCCAGTACTCTGTCCCCGACCCTACCACCCCCGGCAAGATGTTCATGAACTACCAGGGACTGGCCAGCTACCTGTCCAGTGGAGGTCAGACATATCTCCCTCACACACCTCTCTTATAACTCCTCATCCCTCTACACACTCCCTGACCTTTCCCTTCATTTTTAACCAGGTGACAACTACTGGGTGATCGACACTGACTATGACAACTATGCCATCACCTACGCCTGCCGCACTCTGAAGGAAGATGGCACCTGCGAAGATGGCTACGCCCTTGTGTTCTCCAGGAACCCCCGTGGCCTGCCACCTGCCATCCAGCGCATTGTCCGTCAGAAACAGGAGGACATCTGCATGGCTGGACAGTTTCAGCCCGTCCTGCAGTCTGGAGCCTGCTAAAGAGGAAGAGAGAGAAAGGCAGGAGAGTTTAGAGCTGAGAGAGGGCTAGTTGCAAGCTCGGAGGCTTGAGAGCAAGAAGAGGGAGAATGAGAGTGCGTGTGACAGGAGGTGTGTATGTGAGAGTGGTACTATGAAAGAACAGATGCAAAACAGAAAAATGAGGCACAGACCTGCATCTGTTATTATGCATTTCCCCCTCTATCACTCTGTTCAGCCATTGTTTGTCCAAGGAAAATGTTCACTGTTGCTTTGGTGTTTTGAGCAAATATGAAAGTTAAAATAAAAAATATTTTTCTAACCAATATCACTGGAATTTTGTCCTTTTTGTGCTGTAGAGAATTAATTTTTCCCTCTCAGAGCACATATTAAAAAATAAAAACATAAAACCTAAGCTGTGTGAAGCATAAAAACTTATTTGTCAGCAGCTGAGGCTTGAACACATGTTGGCTGCGATCCCTCCTGAGCTCAAGAGAATGCCAAACCCAACACAGTACGCACTGAGCAGTAATAAGCTTACTGGTGGTCTGATGTTCAGAGAACATAGTCCTATTAGACTAACTCAACTGTGAAGCCACTTAGCTGCAGGGGTCAAGGATCAGCACTTGATGCTCAAACAGTCCTGTCTGTGTTTCCTTCATTCTGTAATGTTATATCACAACACAGCTTAAATGTTGTAAACTGAGGGAAAGGAAGACAGATACAAGATGGCCGACAGTTAGGGAGTGAGAGAGAGAGAGACAGACAGACAGGTGGAGACTGTTTGTTTCTATAGCTGGTGTGTAATCCCGTTGATGTTATGCAACAAGATGGAAAGCAGTGTGCTAAAGCTAATAGTGGTCAAGCATTACTGTAAACCAATATAATACATCTGATGTCCTGGCTGACAACATGGAGGGAGGACTGTTAGATGAAACAGTTTAGCCCCCTCGGACACTCAAAATCCAAAGATCATACAAGGAGGAATTTTATTGAACTTTAAATTGGAAACATCTTGAATTACTTCACTCTTGGCAGCATTGATTAACTTATTTTTTAAATGTAAAATCACACCAGCCAGTGGTTTCCAACCCTTTGTTAATGGAACACTTTATTTTTTTTTTTAAATTACTTATAACGGTAACAATACAGAAGAACTGATAAACGTTCTTGTGAGATGAGTTTTCCTGTTATTTTTAGTACCTTTTAATACAATTCTCTGTCTATATTATGTATTTTTGAAGAGACTGAGGTTGAGGCTGAGAGGGAAGGCTCTGTAAATATTGTATTCAGGTCTTTACTGTGCCTATATCTTGTGAGGGTTTTATTTTGCAGTTTATAGCTTAGATAATATCCAGACTTTACAAAATAATTTCATTTAATTTTCTTCACATAAATCAAATAAATGCTGAGATTTGGGCCAACTCTATCTTTCTTTTTTAGAAATTGATTTATATCTCTTAAAATCAAGAAGACCTCGCAAACCCCTCTTGGGACTTTGGTGACTCGTAGTTCATTCAGGGGAGACAGAAGAATGAAGTAAAGATAATACTTAAATACAGAATATGAGTGAACTGATTTCAGGATGATTTGTGCTGATTATGATCCAACAGAAGTCTTTGGTGCTTGGACACCAGAGGGAGATTTTTTGTGATCAAGGGACATCTGAGCAGCAGCAAGATAAATCCCCTCATGGAGCACAGACACTGGTGGTGGTGGCTGCTGACTCTGAGGCTGCTGACTGCTGAGGTGGATGAGGCTGATGAATCCGTAAAGACCGGGTGGTGATGGGGAGGTGGTGGGCGTGCACGACTGCAGCAAGAAAGAACAACAGCAGAGAAAGAACCATATTTAAAATGAGAAACAGTAAGATGATAGGCTGACAAAGAAGGTGTTTCGCTGTGCTATGGATTGATTGTGAATCAGCTGACGACTCAATGGACCTACCCAGACAATTACACCGAGAGATAGTGAGTGAGCACACATCCAAGGAGTGAATGGCAGGGTGAGAAAGAAACTTAGAGCCTGAGCATGAAAAGTATCTTCCAGACTGAACTTTCATTAGAGCTTCATTAGGGGTCAGGTCCCTTTGTTGGGAAACACTGTTTTAAGCTCTCAGCTCCATAAAGAACACATTATAATACAGTGTGAACAGCACACCATGAAAATAATCATGAAACCTGCTGTGCCACAATGTTTTATTTCAAAGAATTTACATTTACTCTTCTTCTATGTACTGCACTGCATTCATTTTTAAATGTACATCTTAAAATAACTCAGTTTTATGTGGAGGAGCATCCCAGTTGTAAAACAGGATTGTGTGACGAGGGATTGTGGATAATCTCTGTGAGAGCTGACACTATTGGCAGGACAGTGTGTAAAGTCAGTCTGCCTGTAAACTAGCTTAACTCTGATGGGATCAGCTGTGTGGACTTACTGGAAATGAGACCGTCTGCAATACGTAATTAAAAGCAGCTACATTGTTTTATATCTGGACAAAGGAGACTAACATTACATACGCAAAATAATGTGGCCTCACCTTTACTTCAGACGAAGACTTGCTGTTAAAACCCAGACTGTTTTCTCGTAAATAGTGTACAAGCTGGAGGTAAGAATATAAGTGGATTTATCTGCTTCAGTCTGGTGAAGCTCCAACTCAAATAACCCATGTCTGGAGAGTGCCAGAGTCAGAGTCAAGGGGGTTATGGTCCTTACACACAACAAGTAAAGTGACAAAGGGACAGTAAACTTTTACTGCCCCAGCAGACTGTATCATGTTGCTGCCAGGGATGGATCCAGGCATTGTTGTAAACATTAGGGGCTCATCCCCAACTGAGGGGGGGTCACCACCTTATACAAAATTGTATATCATCATTGTACTTCCTAATAGGCCTTTCTCACAGCAGACTTATCTTCGTAGGAAAAGCACAGGCATTACAAATAACACTAACAATAGTGCTGTTCTATTCAAGCGCCCCAGTGAGAGTGACATCAGAGCAGATAAATGGAATTTATTTATCATTAATTTCATAATTTGAACCTATCTTTTCCCTTCTGTGATAAATCAAAATGTCTTCCTTCAATAGCACTATTGTTGCCTTATTGAATGAGTTGTATATTGACTGCTATAGTAAGATCTTACCACCAGGGGGCAGTCAGACCACATTAAATAATCAACACTGAGCCTGAAGACCTTTTGGATTTAAAGTAGTTAGTTTATGACTATTAGAACATTTATCATGATCATAGTTTCAGTCATTTTTATCTTTGATTAATTCATTAAACGTATTCATTTATGACATGCGATCACCATAGTAACAAGGAACAACGAGGCCTTCCACTTGATTTTTATTCACAGTATACGTTTCTATTTTATTGTATAGTCTTTGTTTATCATGCCAATGCTGTGAGGTGCCGGCGCATGAAAGAGATGTACAGTATGTCAGTGCTGTTTTTCATAGTGCAGGTTTGGCGCTCTCCCTCTGTATGACATTAGCAGGATAAGCAGGTGAAGGGACCGAGGGTGCAGGGCGACGGAAGATAATTGGTGCCATTGTGTCTGTGATTGTGGGATCAGGGTGGGGATGAGATTTGATCTGACTGAGAAGGTTTTTGTAGTACCTTTAAAATGTCACCCTGTTGTTGTGCACTCACACAACCAATAAATGATTACACAAGAAAGCAGAAAGGAAAATATGACTCTCAACTACAGTTTAGTTTGAAACTTTTTTAGTGTTGGGATCTTCTAGTGCCAGAACTCGGAGGATATCTGAAGAAAGACAGAAGGTGACTGCTTGTGTACTCTACCTGCCATTATTTAAAAGATATGAGGAAACATGAACAAGCTTCTGCTTGTGGAACGGGCTCCATGAGTATTTTCTATAGAAGTTCTCCTGGTTGTGGGACACTTTTCTCAGGATGCCTTAGTTTTTCTCATTTATCTCTATAAACTCAGCCATGTTGCAGCGAAGATGAAGTCAGACGTACTTCAGGTTTTTGTCCTTACTTTGGTTACTAAGGTTCCTCGTGAAGCAATTTCTTAAGATAAGACCAAAATAACTAGAAAAACCTGATTCCTTAAGTAAACAGATTAAAGAAACCTTAGAAGAAGACTTGAGGATGTTTTACGCAACCGATGTATGTCACAGAAACCTTAACTCGAACTTTAAGGGAAATCTTAACTTAGGGGACTTTGTCCAACAGGCCCCCGTATCTTTAAACAAACTAATTGCACTAAAAATATCCTAAATGCTGTTAGTCTGACAGGACAAAGACCGTTTAAATGTCACATGTTCACTTTCACACAAATACTTCCCACTTAAGGGAAATAGTTTTCATAAAGGGGTTACAGAGGGCATTCACTCTGACGTTACATACCAGATGCCAGTAAGAAGGGCAGATGTGCAAGACATTAAGATAATAAATGCTGCTGAAACTTGTTAAATTACTGCTATCATGATCACAGGGCACCAGTGTGTGACGTTTCTCAGAGTTTCTTCTTATTTACTTTATTGATCACCTGTGTCTCTGTTTGTGCTCCTGAGTCACCTGACTGTCTGGCTGTGTTTTATGACTCACCTGACAGGCAAATCTGTCTAACTGCTCTGTAAACAGACGGCATCTTTACATGAAATATCTACATCTAGGCTCTTTTTCTTTTTCATTTTCTGTACAGGATGTTTTTTTAAGCACTGTAAATGTAATGTATTAAAAAATGCCAGGTTTACATTGTATTATAGAGCTTTAAAACCACTGCTTTTTGAATGTACATTTGTCATAGACGAAGATCATCATCAGCTAATTTTCTGTGTCCTTCCTTTTGACTTTTGTTCATGAGCACGGTGACCCCACTCTGAAAGGTCATGATCCTAAATTACAGGGTTGATGGAAGCCACAATGAGGTTGTTATGTCACGACAAAGTGTGTGCTCAGGTAGGATGCTTGTTAGAGGATCATCGGATATATTAAACTCTTTCAAGTGGAGCAGAAAAAAAAAACCTGCGTGTGCAAAAACCAAACCTGAGAGCCACAGCAGTGTCAGCCATTCTTACAGTTAAAGCAGAGACACTACTCTCAGCTGCATGAACCAACACACACATTGCCTGCCACTGAATAATTTAATTTTACAACCCTGTCTTATCATAGTAATTGCAAGATGTGTCTTTGATGAAAGAGCTGCAGCACATTTTCTGGCTGAGACATTACTTCACACCTCACCTCAATGAAAACAGATGTGTCCCACTTCATAATAATAATAGTAATAATGTGTTGAGGTTTTGCGTGTTATCAAGAGCGCTAATTGTAAAGTAAAATGTTCTCTTCTTTT